AAGGAAGCCAGTTCGAACCCTTACCTGAGCAGAGACCATAGAAAATGGGGAGTGCGAAGACGGCGAGGATCTGGAATCGACTGCATCGACGATGGGTCAAACAGTGGGTCAAAACGGTATGGTGTTGGGGCTGTAGACATGGTCATTTTCAGATTTTTTTATACAAATAATATATTTTATTACACAGTTCTCGTCACTGCTTCTGAGTAGGTAGATCCTTTTTCTAGATGATAAAGCCGGTAGGAGAAATTGGACAAACTTCTTTCAACTACATGGCTTGGCGGGAAGTCGGCGAGCCTCGCTCCCCGGGAAACAGTGCGCATCAGGTCTTCTACCCAGTTTGACTATGGTTTTCACTCTGTATATGTTCTCTGTAATTGCGTTACTCATCTTTACTTCTCAACTACTACTCAACTGTTGTCGAATACTCAAATCTAAACTGCAGTGTTTCCAAAATTCGAAGCTACTGGGAGGGAAGGAGAGGAGGTGGGTGGGGCGAGGTGGGTCGGGGAGAGAATCTAGGTGACAGGGAAGGCGAATTCTATAGCTATAACAACAGATACATTGTATACTGTAGTAACTTAAAAAGTCTGATTCAATAACCGACTTGATACGCTTCGCCCTCGCTTCGGAAGCGATTCGGCTGATCCATCGGGATTTTTTCCATATTTCGTCGAGTTTTTTCTGAATGCGATCGAAGTTACATGATGACATAGGTATTTTGAAGAATGTGCTTCTCAGATTCTTTTTTTCATTGCTTTACCTGGTACTGGCTAATACCTTCGTGAAGAGTTTTGTAAACTCGCACATCATTTTCCAACAAGCACTTCCTTTGCTGATATTGGCAGACCTAAATCTCTGCCGCTTTTATTAATGAACTGATACTGTTACTTATAGGGCATGCTGGTTACCATGAGATAATGCTCCAGAAATATCGAAAGGCGACAGTATGCTGTGAAGAATTCAGGCTGATATGTTGACAGATGGACTGCAATTACTCAGGTTTCTATACTTTCTATGCAAGTGTATTAAATAGAACGTACTAGTTTCAAAGGCAGCTATTGGGAGAGTATCACATTTATTATGAAGGCGTGGTTGCACCATTTGACGATTTCCCGATGGGGCCGAACACACGTCATCAGGTCTAGGGAGGATCTTTAACGAAGAAAACCTGTATTTTGAGAAAAAAATTGATGAGCAAACATGGCAGAACCGTACCGTACCATAGCAGTCAGAAATTGGGGCTTGATAGTAAAGGAATCAAGATTGCGCTGGTGTAGGGGCTACTTTCCACGAGCTTTTTTGGCATAGGGATATGCAAATCATCAGCTCGGCTACTGCCTGCTCTCGCTCGCGTAACAACAAACCAATTATTTCAATAGATGGTCTATGAAATAGACTGTAAAATTCTATTCCAAACTCCATCCATCAGAGAAACAGCACACAGCTGGCTCCTCACACGGAGTTATTGTAATTACTCGGAAACCCAGTTATACCCTATTGCAAGTTTGCGCTGACTGTTGTAAGAGAATAGTGTGCCAGAAGTAAGGTCTCATTTCTCCAAACGTTGAATAGGTTTGAAGGATGGTGAAAATGTAGTTGGGGGGTGCCAGCGCCCTTTTGTGCTCTGCGTCT